TCTAACTGTGCTGCAGGTCAACATGGCAGCTCTTTGTTTGGGGAAGTCATTGACAGTGAAGCAGCCGGATGTAGGAATTCCTCAAACAAAACAACAGATGGCATCATCCTGAGGAGTCGCCTGCTTCCACCCAGCAGCTGCACTATCCTCGTTTAACCCGGCGGGCCTCGGCTCGGGATCCATTCAGGTTTCTGCACAACGGCTCTGGGTTTGGAGGGCGGGGAGGCAACGGACCTGCCGCTGTGTTCTATATAAAGGCGGGAGGCTGATGCTAAACATCCTGGCATCACTTCAAAGCTGCTGATGAAAAGCACATGACTAAAGTCCTAACAAAGCCTTTTCACATCGAGTCCCTGAGACGTACAGATGGTCTGAGAGAGTGGAGAGTGGCTCCTTGCTGTAACTGAACCTCTCACCCTCTCAGCAGAGGCTTTCCGTCGGTGGGGGTGTTTTTTTTTTTGTTTTTTTCTCAGCAGAGGAGGGTGATGCTGTTCGTCGCTCTCTGGGAATGTATTGACTGAGGATCCAACTCTCAGGCTTCCAGCTGGACGCTGCTCTGCTCACGGCGTGGGGTTTAAACCAGGACGCTAACACACCTGACGGCTGAGGTAGGACACACCTGCGTTTACCAACAACTAGACTCACCTCCGTGGCTTTGACGGGCAGCTTTTAGCCCCAGATGAGCTGCTTTGGACAGCTGAAGGTGAAAGTCTGAAAGGTGGAGCTGCATGATGAAGGCTGCAGGTTGGAGCCTGGAAATCTCACCAGCAGATCTTTAATTAACTTTTGAGTGAGTTTGATTTGCAGCACATTTGGATCAATTTACAGCCTGAATGTGAAGCTCAGGTTTTAAAGACTAAAGGGGAGATGAAGCCTGATGGTTGGTTCTACTTGCCTCCAGTCTTTGTTTGCTGATCTGGTCTGACAAAAAGTGCAGTAATTACAAACACGAGCAATCAAGAAATCGACCGAATCACCTCAAATTATTTCAATTTAAGGCGGAAACTAACAATTGTTTTCTCTCTCGACTGCTTTCTGGATTGATTAATGAGTTATTTGGTCTCTAAAATGTCAGAAAATTGTGAAAAATGGTGATCAGGTGTCTTGTTTTGTCCAAAGATGTTCAGTTTACTGTCACAGAGGAAGAAAGAAACCAGAAATAATCACATTTAAGAAGCTGCAATCACAGAATTTAGGCTTTTTTTTGCATTAAGATATCACTCAAACCAGTTATTCAGGCTGTTTTTGAGTCGTTTTAAGCAGGTTTCTCTTTTTCTGTACACATTTAAAGTAGTTTTAGAAACTTTTGAGGAACTCTTTACGGGTTCTATGTCATTTTGGACAAGTGGTGTAAAGTAACGATAAGTCCAAGATGACAAACGTCTTGTTTTGTCTGAAGATGTTCAGTTTACGGTCAAAGAGGAGGAAAAAAAAAACCTTTGCGGAGACGCAATTACTGTATTTAGAGTATTTTTCTTGAAATATTGCTCCAACAGATTAGAACTGAGTTTCTGGCTGGTGGTGGAACAACCAAAAAAATCCGCTCTAATTGGCTTTAAGACACTGTGATGGACATTTTCAGCTTCCTGTGACATTCCAGAGAAAAAATTACAAAATTAATCAACAGATGAATCACTAATTAAAAAATTATTAGTTTTTTCCCCCAAGACCGCCATGAATGTGGATTTAATGGTAGTTTTTCTTGAAATCATCAATCACACGACAAAGGAACCAGAGCGAAAGTCCAGCTGGAGGTGGACTGGACTGTAACGAAGGATCACATTCAATTTTTTGGATTATTTCTAAAAAAAAAAACATGTTCTTAGAGAGAAGTGTTCACTCTGTTGAACTACACACTGAACATCGATCTGATGTAAAATGTGCTGGAGGCGACCAAATCGGAGCTAAAAATCAGGATTAACACACAACATTCTCTGTCTGGCTTTAAATTGGAACTTCTTCAAACGGAGATCAGTTTGATGAACTTATTTTCTAGATTAATTGATTAGTTGTTGATTTTAAAGGTGCTACAAAATGGTGAAAAATGTCCATCAGCGTTTATTCAAGATGGCAAATTTCTTAAAAAGTTACTCAAACTGATTAATTGATTATCAAAATAGTTGGCGATTAATTGAACAAACACAACTAATTAATGACTCGTGGCATCTTTACAGATTAATCATTTTGTAGATTGATGGACAACAAGTCTGCAAAATTGTGATAATAAGTTAGACGAGTCGAGTCATTTTGACGATGCAATAGTTAGTTTTTCTTTTGGTTTTAAAGAAAAATGACCAAACGTTAGCTTGTTCAAGTGTGAGGATTCAGTTCATCTCTTTGCTGTTCATCGTATTAAATGAATATTTCTGGAGTTCGTGGAGATGTTTATTTACTGTATTGTGGATATTTTCACCATTTTTTCTACTTAATTATCTGAAAACATAATCAGCAAATTCATCCCTAGTGAAAATAATCCTTAGCTACGCTGTCGAGACATGTTTTCAGATCATTTATCCAACACTATCTTCTCAAGTGTGAATGTTTTTAAATCAAAGTAAATTTAATATCACTGGATTTTACTGTTCAGTTCATAGATGAAGAAAGAAACCAGAAAATATTCACATCTAAGAAGCTGCAATCATACAAGTTTGACTTCTTTTTGTTGTTAAAAATTACTCAGATTGATTATCGACCATCAGAACAGTTGATTGGTTTGATAGTTGACAACTAATTAAATAGCTGATTAATCATTGTGGCTCTGTTTTAAATGAAAAGCAGATGGATTTAAAACTTCTATAGAAATCGATAAGCTGGTCGACGGAAAGTCATCCTTCCAAAAGTTGGATGAATGATGATGTGTTCGTTGTCTAACGTCTGCTCTGAAACAACAAGATGCCAAATGTGTTCTGGTTCCAGCTCCTCCAGCAACGAGGTCTTTATTCTCTTTATATCACCGTAAACTGAATCTGTTGGTTTTGGCCTGATGGTGAAACACAGCGAGACGACTGAAGAGGTCATTATGAGCTCAGACTAACTGGGATGGAAACTTTCCACCATCTTAATGACTAAACAAATGGTCGTAAAAACAACAGAGATTATCTGATACTGTAAATAATTAGCTGTGAGATTACAGACGAGTCCTGAAGCAGGCAGCAGACAGCGCAGACGAACAGAGGCTGGTGACGTGACGCCAGTTTGGATGTTTTATGAAGTGCAGACCTCTTCACAAGTATAATAATCTGCAACAGTCTGACTGGACTGAAGTGAAACTCGTTGCTTTTTAAGTGAAAAAAAAACAAACACTCAACATGATGTCCAACTAGCTGCCAAGCTGCAAATCACGCATCAATAAAAGCGTGTTTTTGTGAGCTAATTGTGCACATGAGGGATACAAAGGCAGCAGAGGAGGGGTCTGCACTGGTGGTATTTGCTGTCGAAGCAGGATGCTCTGCGACCACCACATATTTGTGGGCGGACTTCATGTTCGACTGAGGGGCTCAGAGTTCCATCAAGATTAGCAGAAGCACGCAACCAGACGGTCGTAGCGTCTCTCTCTCCGCTGGCCTCAGAAATGTAACAGAGGAACACATATAAATCATTTCGTGAATCACCACAGATGGTGAATAGGTGAGCGCTGCAGAAACATTTATGTTGGCTGCAGGAACTCATTTCCAACGGAGGTTTTCAGCGCTTCATGGAAACTCTGCTCGAAAAAAAGAGCAGCACTTTCTGAAAATGATCCATCCAGGAACTCTGCATGCCCTTTGTCCATGTACTGTTTTAGCAATACGTTCTGAAATCAGTCTGTAAAAGTGAAACTCGAGCGTTGGGAGGGTCCTGAGGTGAACTCAGCACTTCTGAGTAAAGTGGTTAATAGTTTTATGTAACTCCCACAATCTGAAGTGGCGGTTGCTATAAAGTCGACTGCAGCACTCCAAGAAAACCAGCAACAGGAGTAAATACCACACTGGCACCATGATTAGTAACCTCATCTCACCACGGTGTGTAACCAGTGGGACCACGTGGGACCAGTGGTGGTTGAAGTCTCTCTTCATGACTTCAAACTTACTTATAAAGAAGCATAAAGCAAGAAGATTTATGCAAACCTACAATATCCAGCAGAAATGAGAACATTCCTGTGCAACAACACTTAAAAGTCACATCTCATCCTTCAATAACTGCGTTGTTTCTAAATTGAACAGCAGAGTATTTTCTCTAATGAATAATTAAAACCAAAATAAAAGCTATATTGTAAATTTAGACCCCAAAGAAGAAACTCAACCCAACCAAAGCAAATCTAGCTGTGATCACTGACACACAAGTTAGCAAAACTGTGACGATGGAAACTAAACTTAGTACACCTGATGTTTAATCAGACTAACTGCATGAACATGGTTCTAAAATGAGAACTTTCTCAGGTTTGGACCTATGAGCTGTGTCTATGTCTGCATCATGGCTCCACACTGAAAATACTTGACAGAGGAACTGAAAAATCTGACTGAAAGACGTCACAAAGATGGGAAACAATTCAGGAAGATCAACTAAACATCAGTGAAGCCCAGTGTGAGCAGCAACCAGGAGGTCTAGAAGGAGCCATAGTAGCACTGATCAGGGCTGCAGTGGTCCTCCTCCTACAATGACTCCACAGACAGTGAACTACTTTCCCTATGTAGCTGTAAAAACCAACGGCAGCTGTAAAATTGTAAAATTACAGAATGACTTTAGCTGTATGGTTAAAATGGATTAGCAGTTTCCAAGAACTGTACACATGGAACTTAAATGCAAACTTAAGGATTTTCTGGTGCAACTCCATCCCGTTTTCCAAACTTTTCACTTCATGACGGGTGTCTACTCTGAAACCCACAGAGTAAACACTTATTTTCTGACAGCTACATTTTTAAAAGTAACAGTATCAATTAAATAAAGAGTCAACAACTGTTTTTTTCCCTGTGTGTAGCAGAACTGAGCTTTGTCTTCTTTGTAGTGGTGCTAATTCTGATGTTTATCTTGTGACACCGTGATGAGTCAGTCCAGCCCCAACATTAAAACATACATTAAAACAGCATTAAAACAAAGCAGATGTTCATGTGAAGCTGCGTTTAATTGGCACTGTGAGATTGTACTTGTACACAATGAACGATAATTACACAATAAAACTGGTTCCTAGAAACTGAGCCAGACCTGAGTGCCAAGTCTGGCTAGATCCAAATTACAGTTTATGCAGCATACCATTACCACTGCAGTGTGAATACCATGACAGTTAGTCATACATGAGGGACAAAGAGCTGAAATAAATCACTCAGTTCCGAACTTGTGTTCTGTTGATGTTGGAATAAAACTTCAGGAAAAAAACAGTGCTTGATGAGAATATTTTCTCATCATCATAACTACAATTGTAATGGTAAGCGTATTCGTCCAGAAACGTTTGGTTTAGGACATTGTGTTCGGTGTATGATGTTGGGTTTGACGTTGGGTTTGGTATACGATGTTGGGTTTGATGTCGGGTTTGGCACACCGTGTTGGGTTTGACGTTGGGTTTGGCACGCTGTGTTGGGTTTGGCGTACGATGTTGAGTTTGACGTTGGGTTTGGCACACGGTGTTGGGTTTGACATTGGGTTCGGTCCACAACATTGAGTATGGTATGCAACGTGACATACGGTGTGAGACAATGGGCTTCTCGCCTCAAGTCTTTGTATGGGACAATGTTGGCTTCAACATCGGGTTTAGTACGCAATGTTGGGTTTGAAGTCGGGTTCAGTGTATGATGTTGGATTTGACGTTGAGTTCTGTACGCGATGTTTGGTTTGACATTGGATTTGTGTACGATATTGGGCTTGACGTTGGGTTCGACACGCGGTGTTGGGTTTGACGGGTTCGGTCCACAACATTCAGTTTGGTATGCGACGTGACATACGGTATGGGTTCCACATGTGATGTTGGCTTCAACATTGGGTTCAGTATGCAATGTTGGGTTTGAAGTTGGGTTTGGTGTACGATGTTGGGCTTGATGTTGGGTTTGGTCCACAACAATTAGTTTGGTATGTGATATGACATACGGAATGCGACATTGGGTTCCACATTGGGTTCAGTACGCAGTGTTTGGTTTGAAGTTGGGTTCGGCATCAATGTTGAGTTTGACGTGTGACATTGTGATTGGTATGCACCATTGCGTTCGGCATGCAACACTGAGTTCAGTATGCAATGTTGGGTTCAGCATGCATGGCTGGACTCTGTATGCGATGCTGGGTGGGTGAGAGACTTCTATTCAGTGCGCCCTGAGATCTGGACAAGTCTGCTTTTGGCTAGCGTGAGTTCTACCATAATACAGCCAAATGCCCAATAAAGCTGTTCTTGTTTGCATATTTTTCTGTTTCTGTTGTCAGACAGCAGAACAAGTATGAATTAGTGACTGCAACTCATTCAGACGACATGTTAACCAACAGTCACTTCAAGTTGTTGATCTGCAGTTGAAATATTGATTTTATAACATCAGCTGACAAACTCACCAAACACATGAATTAAAGACGTTGGCTGAGCTGAGAATTCAGCTGTATTTACAGAGAAGTTAAAGCTGCAGCCAAAGTCAGAATCGTCACGCAATGAGAAGAAAAGGAGTTGATTTAGCTGCTATGTGCTGTAAAACATCCACCGTGTCCATGTTGACCTTTGCTTAATTTACAGATTTCCACTTTGTTAAGGGCTTCCACTGGAACTTCTGACGTCTACATTTTGTTATGTTTCTGCATTATATAATGGTATACAGTTGGTCATAATAAAACAAACTGAAATCAATTGATTAATTTGCTTTTTTGGAGGAAAATGAATCATTTAGATTAATCGCTAAAATATCTGACAGAAAAATCAATAGAAAAATGGTCATTAGTGGCAGCCTAGTCATTAACAAATCTAATAAAGATGATTCAAACAAGATGGTTGTGTTCTCAGCGTTACTTTCTGGAGTACTAAAGCTGAAGTTGCAATGCTGGCTTCAATTTTTAATTTTTATTTATTTTACACTTGAGAACAGATAAGTGTGTTTATTTTTTATTATCTACAGTTTGCCAGCATTTGAGCTCCTTAGCTGTCACAGTGGAAAGTATGGACCATGAGACTCAGAACAAATGCATTTCATTGGTTTCTTTGCTGTTCTGAAACATATCAAACCATGACTTTAAAACCAAGTTCTGGACCATTACAGGTAACTTCTCCGTCTTCATCCACAGCTCTGCCTGGCTGCTGTTCAACTAACCAGAGTTCTAACTAAACCATGAGGGTCTTCATCCTGCTTTGCCTGCTGGCGCTGGGCAACGCCAAACCCTACCAGCCAATCAACGTCATGGACTTCATGAAAAGCTATGACATCATGATGGCAGACGATGACGACGACGACGACGATGACGACGACGACGATGATTATGACGATGACGATGACTGTCCAGCTAACTGTCGCTGTTCACCCAGAGTGGTGCAGTGCTCCGACCAGGGTGAGAACAGCCTGAACACATCTGGATCGACATGATGTTATTGTAACAGAAACACATCTGGATCCGCATCATGTTGCTGTAACACGCAAACACATCTGGATCCAAATCATGTTACTGCAACAGAAACACATCTGGATCCATACCATGTTGCTGTAACAGAAACACATCTGGATTCACATGATGTTACTGTAACACGCAAACACATCTGGATCAAGATGATGTTACTCTTTACATTTAGTCTGCAACTTGTTGTTTTACAGATTTGTTACACCCAAAATACTGCTTTCTGTCTAAGTACTTAGAGCTTCAAAAGTTAATTCTACTGAAAATACAGTTTGTTTGTTTTTTTGTCAAAGTACTGACAGTTTTAAAGGCTTATTCTACCTAAAATACGACTTCCTGTTCATGTACTTTATCTACAAATTATGGTTTACAAAGTTTCTTTCACCAAAAATACTACATTGTCTAAGTACTTACAGTCCTAAAGGGTTATTCCACCCAAAATACGGCTTTCTGTCTTAGTTTTAAAAGTTTATTCATCCTAAAATACTACTTTCGTTCAAAGGACTTGTAGTTTTAAATGTTTATTCCACCCAAGACACCAGTTTCTGTTGAAGTATTTATGGTTTTAAATGTTTATTCCACCCAAGACACCAGTTTCTGTTGAAGTATTTATGGTTTTAAAATTTTATTCAAACCAAAATACTACTTTCTGTTCAAGTACTTAAAATTTTTAAGGTTTATTTCACTAAAACAGCATTTTCTCTCCATCAACTTATGTTATACATATATAGTATATACAGTATAGGTAGTTGTTAGTTTAATAGGCTGTGCCCTTCGTTATCCAGTCAGGTAGGTGGTGCTGTCACAAAAAACAAGAGCCCTTTGCTGCAGATATACGCTACTTAAGCCATGTTCAAAACTCTACAGCAAGTTCATCATAAAAGATCAACAGCATACGTAGGTCCTGTGTTATTCTGTTTTCCTTCTTGTCAATAAATCCCGTAATCCTTTGACGAAAACCAACCGCGTCTCAGTCTGACTCTGAATACCTTCAGACTTCCGTCCTCTGTTTGTAGCACTCATCCCTAATACCACCGGCTCCTACTGTCGCTGTAAATCTTTCATAACAGCTCATAAATAAGCAGTTGACATTTCCTAAAGAAGCTTGATAATTTCCTACAACAGCTCGGTACTATTTTTTAGCAGATGTTATTTAAACAACAGCACACTGTATTTATAGAGGTATTTTCAGTGGCAGATTTATCGCTATTTGGTGCATCATCCTGAATAATCCTGGCAGGGAGGCTCACCTCCATCCTGTTGATTTCTAGCAACAGGATTTCTAGTAGCAGGAAGGCGCATGTGAGACCGAGTCAAAATAAACTACCATCACTGCCAGAACACACAGCAGAGGAGTACGATGGACTGAAAACACAGTTAGTACAATCAGCTCAGTGTTGGTTTGGGTCTGCACTTTGTATTTCTTGGAAAGAAGAAAAATAGAGCATTACTTGATAAATGTCACTCAGCACACGGCGAGCTGGACCGAAACAAATCATGCAAATGATCTCATGTTCAAGTAGACAGCTAAACTGATAATATGAACGTGAGGAACGACCAGAATTTGGTGTTGTGCATCAAAGAGAATCTTCTACGTTATGGGGATAATGCAGCTTAGCGGGGTTTTCACACCAAGCAAAGGTTCTGCAGCCAAAGTTCTACAGAAATGAAACCTGAACTGAAACATGTTGAATCCAAAATCATTCATGGACAGGATCTGATCTAATTTGACTGAGAATAATAGAGGAGAACGTTCTGTGTATCTCTGAATTGATGCTCAAGTTTTTCAACACAGCAAAACCCAGTCAGGAAACTGATGCTGCTCTGGTATAATCTGAAGAATACTAGTTGACCTTTCATAAGCTCTTGTGTGTTTGCCTTGAAAGTTGTCCACAGAAGGCGTCATTTCAACACTTCTAACACATTCACTGTCTGTAAGCAGCCATGTCATGAATAGTGTCTTGATGTCTTCCAAGAGACAATGAGTTGCATTGCCGCTCCTCATTTGTGTAAAGTTGAGATCTCAACTACTGTAATAAGATAAGGCAACACCTCTGGAAACGTCCAATGTCATCTACTGTGACGCTGCCTCGTCGCACGCCCATCAAGAATCCAATGTTGGGAACCACTGCAGTCATTGAGCTTTGATTTTATTCAGCAACTGTTTGTGTTTCTGCCAACAGGTCTGATTTCGATTCCTGAGAAGATTCCTGAAGATACTGTGATGATGGATCTCCAAAACAACGACATCACTGAAATCAAGGAGGACGACTTTAAAGGCCTCAACAAGCTTTACGTAAGAGAGACTTAATGAAGAGGGAAGGTCACTGACGACCAGTCAGTAAATTATTCATTACTAATCGATTCAATGAAGATAAAGATATATGAACTTTTTCTCTACATGTGTATAAAATGTGTTGTAGTTCTGCCATAGTACATGTTTATTCCACCAGGTGGAGCCTCTAACTGTTTAATGAGGTGGAGTTACTGGTGTGTTTGCTGACCGTCTGTAAGTACGTTTTGGTACTTTGGGGCCAGTTTTGAGTAATTTTAAACAATTATTTCTTATTTACAACAAGTACTTGCCAGTTTGGATGAGTTTCGGGGTTCTGGACAGTTTGTTGTCAAGTTTTGTTACTTTGGACAAATTCGAAATCATCATCTGTACAACGTGCAATGCTACTTGCTGCTAAGACACTTTGTGCAGATCTTTTCTATATTTCGTCACATCTAAATTCGCCTTCATCTATTCACCTATACAGTCTAACATGTGCCCCAGTGGCTGCCTACATCTTTACCAACATCTCACTGCTCAGTGTTTGACTGTAGCATTTAAGTTCCTCCATATTGTTTTCAATTCTGTTAAAAAATACATTTCTGAACCGTTCAGGCTCATAAAACATGAACTGCGATTCCTATGTAAATGCCATCACCTCTATACCTCATGTTACTCGAGCCATGACCCTTTTAGGGATAAAAATCAACATCTCCAACAGAAAAAACAATTTCCAAGTACAGCGAGAAAAAAGATTTGGTTCAGAGCCTTAGAATGAGTCACATTCACCCTCGAGATACGAGCGAAGGACCATCTTGAAGCTGTTAGGGTTGTGAGATAAGAAGAAAAGGCTCGCTGATACTGATCCAACCGCAGCCTGAGGCCTTACAATACGACGCGTCCTCCTTGTAAACCTCCCAGCTGAGGAGCAGCTTTGTCTTTGATCCAGCGGCCTTGTTTTCAGCAGGGAATAAACCACATCAAGGCCTGAAACTCTGCGTTGCATCACAACAAACAGTGGGAACAATCAGCAGACCACAGTGTTGAGTTAAAGCAGCGGTTTGTCATCGAGTGTATAAAAGCTGGTTGACCTGAACCTGAACACAGTTGAACTGCGTTCAAATGTTTCTACGCATTGATTCCAACTTTAATCAAATCCTGATTATGATTCACGTCACATCTCAGTGCAATAGCGGAACAAAAATAAAGCAACCGACGTCCAAAGCAAGAAAACTGCCAGATTTCAAGCAGATTTCTTTCTTTATAAACATTCTTCATGATGACAAGGTGTTTAGTGGAAAGATTCTCGCCAAGCGCAGGTTTAAGTTCATTCTTCACCTCAGAAGGAGTCGTTTAATAAAGAAGATATCCAACTAAAAATCGTCTTTATTGTTTATTTTACGTGTGTCAGATGTTCTAACACAGCAAATGCTCTGTCATACTAACTGACAGACTTTCCATTCCCTAAACTGACCGTAGAAAATGCAGTTTGGATAAACTAACTTTGGTTTTGGTTCTGTCTTCCCACATCAGGGCCTGTTTCTGATCAACAACAAGATCTCAAAGATTCACCCGAAGGCCTTCAGAAACATGGACCATCTCAAACTGCTGTATCTCTCCTACAACCTGCTGACTGAGATCCCAGCCAACCTGCCGCCCAACGTCATCGAGCTGCGATTCCACGAAAACAAGATCAACAGAATCCAGAAGGACGCGTTTAAAGGCTTGAGGAAGCTCCATGTGCTGGGTGAGACCAGACGCCTGCTCCCTGATTAGCTACGATAGCTTTCACAAGGCGGCTTGTCGAGCAAAAGTCTGCAGGTTTTTATTTAACCCAAAAGCTAATTACATTAATTAAGAATACTTTATACAGAGACACATGATTAATAAAGGGCTCCACTGAAGTGTTTAGATTAAATAAAGACTCAAACCCCTAAAATCAAAAAGGTTGGTCGTCAATAATGCTGATCGATAAACTGTAGTTTCATTACAATAAGAACATACGCAATAAACACATAACAAAGGACTTTCTTCAATGCAGTAAGAAACCTCAATTTGGTTAACATGTGATCTGTCAGGATTTAATCACCACCTATTTTGGTAATTAATCCTTTTGAAATATTCATTGGGTTTTCTGTGATTGTTGCTTCCTAAATGTGAACAGCTTCTGGTCTCTTTGCGACTGAAATCCGTATTTTAGCTTCAGACCGCAGCCTGGAAATGATGTTGGTTTAAACCAAAGTTTCCACAGACCTGTGAGCAGACCATCAGAGCTAATGTTAGCTACATTAGCATCACAACAAGCTAACACTAAGGATTCCCTTATTCTTATAGGGACATGACCATCAATAGCAAAAGTAATCCACTGGGTGTTCAGGTCCTCAGATGCTGGGAGTGCATGAAGACTCTCGTGTTCACTCTTACACCTGACAGCAGAACATTTGGCGAGTTTTGCTTGTAGCTGAGATATTGTTAGCTGAAGCAGCTGAAGAAAGTAAATAAACCTGATGGACTGTGAGGCAGCTGCCCATTCCGATTGGTTCACCTGGAAGCTGGACCGGTTCTGGTTCCTTAGTTTCTACGTAGAACCTGGACTGGTTGTAAAGCTGAGAGGAGATCTGGTTGAGGAATGCCACAAGTGAAGGTCTTTATATTCTTACGTTTTACTTTACAAATCTTTAGGACAAACAGATTTTTACCACATAGGACCTATAAAAGGTTTGTGTTGTTACAAAGCCCAAACTGTGTTTTCGTTTTCATTTATAATTAGTCTGTTGATTTTTGATTTCAAATAAACCATTAACTGTTAGTGGATCAATGCTTCATAAAGTTCCAGACAAATCTCGTGTTTTGTCCACAGATATTCAGTTTACCGTCATATAGGAGGAAAGAAACCAGAAAATATTTACATTTAAAAAGCTGCAGTCTGAGAGTTTTTACCTTTTTCTCTCTAAACTGATTAACTGATTGTCAAAACAGTTGGCGATTAATTTATTGGTTGACAACTAATCGACTATTCGTTGCAGCTCTAATCTCGTGTCGACGACATCAGCGAAAATATGGTTCCTAATTAATCAGCGTTGTAAGTAAACTCTGTTGATTTAGGAGAGATCATGTAGTTTTTGGATTATTGTTCACAGTGTTCCTCTCATTAACAGAAGAATGTTGCAGCGAATTCAGACGACAGATGGGAAACAAACACGCAGCAGAACATCTGGACGGAAACACGTTATTAATGTTAACATTTACAAACTGAACCGGAGATCTTATTTCAGCCAAGATTGGCCTTTTCATCAACAGATCACTTTAATGACTGTTTTCAAGGCTTCGCAGAGCGTGAAGGTTTCTTGACGAATTATATTTGTGGTTAATGTAAACAAAGCTGCGCAGGTTCGTCGGAGCGACCGAGCAGAATGTCATCACACCAGATGTGATGTGATTCACCTGATGTATGCTCGCTATCCTGACGCTGAACCTCTAACGATTAAACCAGATGTTTTGTGCCGGTCCCAACAGAGCTGGGCGCCAACCCTCTGGCCAACAGCGGGATCGAGCTCGGGGCTTTTAATGGTTTGTCGACGCTGTATATCGGCATCGCAGAGGCCAAACTCACCGCCGTGCCAAAAGGTAGGACATCAGTCTGCTGCTTCAGACAGACCAATGGAAAACTTTCATTTCCCACCTACAGCCTGACCACACTGTGCAACTTATTCAATCATTTTAAACCACAATTAAAAGAAACGTAAAAGAAGCCACTTGCAGGGGTTTTATCTAATGTGTGTTGTGTCTCCCAGACCTGCCGTCCTCCATCAAAGACCTGAGCCTCGACTACAACAAGATCGCCAAGGTGGAAATAGAAGACTTCATCAGATATAAAAACCTGCAGAGGTGAAAATCAGCCACAATAAAACCAAACATCTTCCAAAGAAATTCCTAAATACGGCACATTTTTGTTCAAGCTGTTGGTCAAATGAGCCTGATCGTTGTTCAAACACTCCAAGAAGAACTAATCTGAAAGGTTAGGTGGTTAAATTAACATTGAAGCCTCCAAACTCCAGACAGTTTCTGGGTGTTTTTCCTCAATTGTATCAGAAAACCTCACTAGATTTAAGTTTAAATGCATGATATTTAATTGAAATCAACATATTCTACAGGTCTTGCCAAAAATATACCGTTTACTACCAACATATCCTGCTGAAGAAACAAACTACAAGTTCTCTGCTCCTCGACACGACCCTGAAGTCATCAATGACTCAAGTGAACTGCAGGCAGTGTTTCCAAGTAGAATATCTACAGCATGTGGAGCATTTTTCATAGTGTTGGTAGCACTTGTGGACACTTGGAACAAAAATGCTGCACACGTTGACGTCAGGTTTCTTGCCAAACTTTCTAAAATTAATAGGGTGGCTGTGGCTCAGGTGGTAGAGCGGTTGTCCTCGAATCGCAAGGAACACAAAGTTGCTCCCAATGGTAGCTCTGTCGCCATTGGTGTATGAATGGGTGAATGGGAAAACATTGTAAAGCACTTTGGATAAAAGTTTTATGAAAGTGCAGACCATTTACCATTTAATATTTAATATTTAGAGACATTAATTTTTTCCCTTTTTTTCTGTCATTCTAACTGCGTCATTCTGCACACAAGACATCTCTGAGTTTTCTCTACCTGGTTGTTCTGTTTCCATGCAGGTTCATGACTTTTTATTGCAGTGACAGTGAGAAGAAATGTGTGAGAACACCCAGAAACTACCTGGAGTTCAGAGGATCAATACAGCTTGTTCATATAAACACTGAATATAACGTGTCCTTTTACATAAACTTAAACATATTGCTGCCTTTTGGACCATTTTCACACACCAGCAGTGAAACCTTTAACTGCGGTTTTCCTTTCTCTCAGACTCGGACTCAGCTTCAACCAGGTCAAGTACGTAGAAAACGGCAGCCTGGCCAGCACCCCGAGCGTTCGTGAGATCCACCTGGACAACAACCGGCTGAGGAAGGTTCCTCCGGGCCTGAACTCTCTGCGCTACCTCCAGGTGAAGCTCAGACTCTGACAAACCTGGTGTGGATCAGGTCACAGTGACATCACAGCATTTACAGAGTCGACACATGGCTCAGATTTACCACCGCAGCCTGCATCACCGTCACACTGTACTCCATCTACCCCTCACAGAACATCCAGGTTTTCACTTATAGGAGAAACTCACTAAAAACTACTGATGCAAATTTTGAACAATTTTCGTAACCCATAACCAGCACTTATCACTCAATAATCAATTAAGTGTTAATGGGTATTAAAGCAAACATTTTTTTCTTTAAAACACATGATATAATCTAATATTAACAGTAAGATTTGTATGATTTGAATCCAAGTTACTAGTTTTATAACAGTATTTGACTTTTGTTTTAAGATTTTTT